AGAAGAGGACGAGACACAAGGTTTCCATGGAAAGCTGAGAGGAGGCAAGAAAGGTTTTACACAAATAAAGCAGAATTTGGAAGGGATGTGAGCGTTCCCAAGGGCCTGGTCAGGATTTAGGTAGCCCAGCTTCCTGCGAAACCTGAAAAGCGGCTGAAATTTTTGAAAAGTGCTGCAGATGGTTGACTTGGTTGATTAAGAGTGAAATATCCTACTTAATGATCGTGTCACAGAAAGAAGGGTGCAGAACTAAGCAGTAAGGAATTAGTTAAGGCCTAAACTTTTAGATGAATCTAAGGCTTGGACAGTGGGCTCCATGCCAGTACCAATCCTTTTATAGAAAGACCAAGAAAAATGTGAATAGTCACCATCACCCTGGGATTTATACGAAGGGCTGCTGTGGTATAACACTTATTTCCACTAGGTCCTCTATATTCCTCTAATACCTACTCTAATCTATACAGTAGCCATTCAGAGGACTATGTTCTTTTGCTGGGATGCTGCATCATCTGTGTTGGTGCTCTGGGGTGGCTGCTAGGGAGCAAGCTAAGGGAAATGGACTTGTTTGGGTGGTGGTGTACGTAGGATTCCAGTTACTACACATGGGCTACATTATGTTTCCATGCATGGATGGGTTTACAGTTTACAAAACACGTTCACATGTTTGGCCTCACTTGATCCTTACCAAGTGCTCTCAGTTGGGTAGGGTCTCTATTCTTTGGAGTCAGAATCCTTGGGTTTGAATCTGGAGTCACCACTTGGTAGCTGGGTACTCTCGGGCAAGTTATTTCAACTCTCTCTGCCTTCATTTCCTCATCTGTAAAACAGAGATCATTATACTTCGTACTTCCTAGGGATGCGATGAAGATTCAGTGAGCATGTAAAGGCTTTAGTGTAAGACAGTAAACAAATGCTCTATAATTATTCCCATTATCATTATTATTGCTGTTATTATTATTTTAGAAGTGTGGCACTCAGGATTGGCAAGGTTAAATGGCTTCCCAAGAAGCAAGTGGTAAGGCTGGTAAGGGGGCTAAGCCCAGGACTCCTGACTCATCATATTAGTGGCTGTGGAACTTTCTGCCTGTAAAAACTGATCTTTAGCAACCAGGCCAAGATATTGTGCTGCCCAAACACAATAACCATGGTTTTATTAATTGGCAGGAAGAAGTTAATAGACTTTTCTCCATCTTTCACCTTTTCTCTTAGAGTTTTCTTAAACTTTGTGGACTTGCTACTGATTTGCCTCCTACCACTTGCTGTTCATAGCCAAGCAAGCAAAGGCATTCACATAAATATTAATGCAGAAAACCCAGATCTCACTGGCCATGCTTGGTTCAACAGCTACATTCTTTTTCCATGAACCTCTGACCTTTTGATTTAATTGCATACATGCATCAGAAGCAGACTTTCTGCAGGTACACCTCTCCTGGGTTGTAGGAAGCAAGTAGATGCGTCAGTAATTTGCAGCATTTCACAAAGAACATATTGTTCAGTAGAGAACACGATGCCTTCTAGGTCCACCCACCCTGAACAAGCCTGAGGGCCACCGACTGTGCCCCAGACATCCCTTCTCGACCTCGAATTCTACCAAATGTAAACTTACTTTTTGCACTTCCTGCAACCACTCAAATTTCAGATCAAGCTAGTATATAGCTCTGTTTTTAGTCTGTAGCCTGTGTTTTATTTTCACGAACATTGTAACCAACACTGTTGAATGCCAACCAACAACCATTTCCAGACTCCTTCTTCCTTGCCGGCCTCCTACCAGAGGGGCTGAAACAGTTAAACATTCCCTTTTGCAACCTCTTGCTACCATGTGACCTAGTCCTGGCCTATGAGACATAAGAGGATTTCTGTGGGAAGGGTGGAAGATCTTTCTCCCCGATTAAAAAGAGACAGACATATGAGAAGAGCCCTTTTTGTGCATCTCTTTTTGCTTTGGATGCTGCTGTGTGAGGATGTGATGCCTGGAGCTGTGGCAGCCACGTTGTGATCAGGCAATCCCAAGGGTGAAGTTGGGGGCTAACACACAGAGGAAGGTAAGAGTGAAAAGATGAAGGGTTAAGCTGCCAACCAATCCTGAGACTCACCTATTTCTAGACTTCAGTAATAAAAGTCATGAGGTATAAGTCACTGTTAGTTTTATGTTACTTGCAGTTGAAAGCATCGAACTGATACAAATGTAAAAAAAAAAATTCTAAGTGCTCTCATGGGTTCACTGAATATCTTGATTCCCCCAGGCTTCCATCTTTTCCCCACAAAGTCTTACCACTGAGATTTTCAAGACAGCAATTCTTCAGGTTTGAGAGAGACACTGCCTGTTACAGTGCCTCTTGGAATGCTGTGAGGTTCATGCAAACCATAAACTGGTATAAAAGTAAAAGAGAACTAGTGAAAAATACTTCTGTGCTAGGCAGACACTGACTTTCAGGCTGAGGGACAAGAGGCCGCTAAGCAGTTTTTCTCCCGGGGGAATGTGTATTGTGGAGTCTGAGTCTGAGACAGCTGAGGAGGAAAGTTTTTTAAAAACTTTTCCTGAAAGACAGTAAGTGCAGAAACCACACACTGAGCTGAGGCTGTGAGTGCAGCTCCTGGGCTTAATAAGCTGACTTGAAACTTCAGAATCATGTACAACGGATCCGGGTTTACCGAAGCACAGACTGCATGCAAAAAAAAAAAAAAAAAGATTAAACTGAAAGGAATAGTTAGGACCTTGCAAACCGTGAGCATGTATCAACTTCTTACTCCTGTGTGTCGGCCTAAAAATAGTTCTCTACATACCTGCGAAATGTGAAAGAGCAGCAGCTCACTGCTCCCTATGTGTTAGAAATGCCTGGGCTCAGACTCTGTGGGTGATGGCCACCACGATCCCTTGCCGGTGTCTTAGTCTGATCCTCCAGTGGAAACTGCAGAACTAAGGTAGAGACATGGCTGCCAGCACACTGAACGGTAGTGAGATTCTGCTGTGGAATGCCAGGGGTTTAGATGCCAGAGACAAAGCTGTTCCTAAAAATGTCTTTCTTTAAAACAATTTTCTTACTTTTAAAGAAATCAAAGACCCATGGCAAAGAACAGGTTTTTAGTTTGTCTGCACACCACAGATGCGAAAGTGGGATTGAGGTGAGAAGGCAGATGGATGACCAGCATCTGGGACACCATTTTCACACGAAGACTGGGTTTGCAGATCATGTAGGGCCTTTGAGAAACTTTATGGCTCCCCCTCAAACCTAGGCAGTTTTTATGTGACTCTCTAACTTGAGTTAAGATTCACGGTTGGAGAAAATGGTACCTAAAATTAATTTCCAGGCTTTCATTTACCCACTTTCCCAACACGTTCCTTTGCTTTCCTCTCGAGCAGACGTCTGTCCCGTGGAAGGTCAGCTTCTGCAGGAAACTCAGAAGAGCCCAACTTTTCAGAGGTGGCATGTTTGCTGCACAGGTCCGGGGGCAGAAGCGTGGCGGACCCGCCCAGGACCCTTCCTCTGGCTGCTACCTTAGGTACTTGCTCTGGAGTCTTCCTTCCAGGCTTTTCCAAAGTGGAACTCTCCCATCCTAAGACTTACGGCATGTGCTGGCTGCTCTTCCACACGTGAAGTTGGTTTGAGAGAAAAAGCAGAGATGTGAGGTGCCGGAAGGTGAGTTCTGATGGCATTTTCGTTTTGCTCTTCCTGAACTTTGATCGTGTAAGCCAAGAAAAGCAAATTCTTTCCTCAAGCTAGTCTGATTTGGATTTTATCACCTGTAACCTGAATCTTCAGCAGTTTTTAAAAACTTGCGTATAAACCTCATTTCCCCTCCAGCAAGGAGTTAAAGCACTTTACACGAGCGTGCAAAAAGAATTCTTTTGGATAGTAAAAAAAAATTTATTTTGTAAATCAAATGATCACTTTCAAACGTATCCTCTATGCAAATCCAAATGTTTAGGTATTAGATTTAAAAAATAATACAGCAATGTTACCATTCACAATTGGAGGGAATAATAGTTGAAATACAGCATAGGCAGAAGTTCTAGTTTTCACATTCAATTGGAACAGATAGAAAAGTATATTAGTCACATATAGAGAATTAAATATTTTATTTTACATCATAAAAATATGCCCACTCTATTATATAGTAAAATGTAATTGAATATTTGCTTAAGTAACGAAAGGGTTAAGAAATGGTTTGGGTTATAATCAGAGGAACATAGGTTATAAATCTGTCGAAAGACTGATATTTTCCAAATGAAATTCCGATAAAAGGCTAAACAGTCTCAAACATTTTATATAAAGAATAAATTATTCCTGATTAACATGTTTTTGCTTTAGTGTCAGAAAAGTCACAACACATTTGATAAACATATGTTAAGAGCCACTTTTCTAGACATGAGCTCCATAGTGCCATCTATATGACATTTGTTCAGAAATGACGCCAAAATTCTTAAGAACACAGCATAGCAGGGGGGAGGAAGAGAGGTGCCTGCCAACGCTGACACAGCTAATTAACAGGAGAGGCTGCAAAGGAGGAGCCTGGAGCAGAGGGAAGAGCCCGTAGCTCCATGCGGCGGCCAAGGGACACCGCCCAGGCAGCGACATGGACACCGCAGCTCAGGATTTTGGTTTTTAAAGAGTTCAGAGACAAATTCCAGTAAGATGGCTGCTTTGAGTCAAGCCTTTCTTCCTGAACTTGTGACTTCTCAGCTGAGGTACTTGGCATACTTAAGGGAAAAGATGAAGACCTTCAGACTGAGTTTTGTTAGATACTGAGCTGGAAAACCAGCGGAGGACTAAGACCAGCACAGAAATCAAAATTCAGGTTTCTTGGGGCTTCCCTGGTGGCGCAGTGGCTGGGAGTCCGCCTGCCGATGCAGGGGACGCGGATTCGTGCCCCGGTCCGGGAGGATCCCACAGGCCGCGGAGCGGCTGGGCCCGTGAGCCATGGCCACTGAGCCTGCGCGTCCGGAGCCTGTGCTCCGCAACGGGAGAGGCCACAACAGTGAGGGGCCCGCGTACCGCGAAAAAAAAAAAAAAAATCAGGTTTCTTGTAAAGAACCGTACACACAAACAGGCTCACTTATTAAGGGTCCAGGAAAGGAGTGGGGTTGGAGTTTAAGCTCTTTAAAAAAAGATAAAGAGTAGGGGAGGGGAGAGAAAGCAGGAGGGCGGAGGAACCTCCTAAGTGATTTGTGCGTGAACAGGAAATACAGATTCTGTCCACCTGACATTCTGCTTTAGGCACCTGTGCCTGGAGCGGTAATTTTTAGGACCTTGCTATGGCTAATTTCCCCATGTGCTAGACGCAGGGTATCTGGGAATTCTGCCAGGCACCTTCCCCCTTATGAGTGCTAATGCCGAGTTTCCTAAAGTGACCTACATCCTCTAAGCCAGGTGAGCTCAGGAGCCATCACACTGTGTCCAGTCCCAGTCACTTACGTGTTCACAGACGTCTGGGTCCACACCAGGAAGGGTACACTTGTATTTCTGGCTCTTATGCTTTTCAAATACAATACACGTGACTAAAGAAAGGGAATATGGTCCTGAACCCTCCCAGCCTCCGTATACGCATGCAATCCAGGTCACCAAAAGGAAAGTGCACTGTTCCCAAGGCAGGGAAGGTGGGGGGCTGTTCCGTACTGCAGAGAACTCTGCAGCAAAATCAGCGGTCCAAATTAACTGACAGACTGATGTGGCCCCCAGCATCACCAGTAGGAATGTCATCTGGAATACTTCTGACAGAGGACAGAAAGTCACCCAACTGAAATGTTATTTAAAAAATATCTTGTCAGGATATAAGGTCACTTCACTTTCTGTTTTTAACCTGTAAAAGTTATTATTTGCTTTGAAACAAAATTGCATACAGTACTTTTTCCTCTTGGGGATTCTTTTTTTTGGAGGAGTGTCTCCCTGTGCTCCAAGCTCCTTCAGGATCCTACTAGCCAAAGTTATATCGCAAAGGTGGTCTTAATGGTATGTCATTTATTTAACTCTTTAATACTTAGCGCAGTTGTTAAATGTACAGTATTTTCTGGGGCTCCTTCTCTGAAAGGGGAAGAATATATCTATAAAATGTTTTATGAGCCAGTTAAGATAATTTTGGATCTAGTTGAAAAAAGATTAAATTATTATTCACTTTGAAACTTACACCACTCATGCCAAAGTACTTGATGTTTATACTTATCTGGAGCTCAGAATCTTTATGCTACACAAATGTTTCAAACAAGGCAATGGCTTACACTTTACAAAGTTTAGAAATGACACCCAAAGGACAGAGGGTAACTTTTCACCAGTGTGGATGGAACAATGACGATGGGCACTTGTACCAGTCTGATCCCGAAGTCTCTATGTGGTTTCTCCACTGGACCAGGTTATATGCACACGCGTGCACGTGGAGAGAGACAGGAAGGCGCCATTCAGTGTCATCGTTTCTCAAATGCTATTCTCTCTACGTGCAGGTCATTCAAGTAAGATGAGAATGTGCGTCTCCAAAATACCCCCAGTTGTATCTTGGAATTTGTTTTAAATGCAGAGGTAAGGTTTGTATGAGAATGTCTTTAACCACCAAAGAAATCAACCTAGATTAGGATACCTGGCATGAAAATTATCTAATTTTCAAAGCCTATGACCTGAGCTTGTAATGGGCAAAGGCGTATTCATTAAAGACATTTCTGGAAAGTACGTGCACCGTCTACACATCCAGATATTCCTACAGAAGTTACACCCTGTGCCTCCCTTGGAAGACCAGAAGGAAGAAAGCCTGTCCCACAGACTGAAGTGGACTTCCACGCCGAGGGTGAGCCTGTTCTCTAGGGAGGCAGTGCCACACCTGAGGCGTTGTAACAACTCTCACACCAAGAGGGAGGAGAGGAGAAGGGGCCAAGTGAGAGGGAGGGAGAGGCAGTTACCACTCTAGGAGGCTGAGAGAGTCTGCATCCCAATCACAGTGCTTCATCAGGCAACAAGATTTTCTAGCTGGAAGGCACACAGAAAATGAACAGAACGATAACTAAGACAGTGGAAATTACAAGAAAAAAAATCTCTTTTGGGCGTAAAGTACCATGTAGCATGAGGCTACCAACCAACCGGACTTGAAACAACCTCTAACACAACCTCTAACAACCTTGAAACACAACCTGCTGACATTAGGGTCTGGGTCAGTAGGTGAAGAGGATTCAGTTACAATGATTCTTCAGCACTTAGTAAAGCTCCCGTGCCTTTTAAACGGAGACCCCCAATCCTCGATTAAAGCAAAAGACTTAAAATTGTGGAGAGTTATACAAATATTTACTGCTGGTATGTCCCAAAGGTCACTGGCCCAGCTGAGTGGAGTCTTCCTTGCTTCGTCCACCACCACTCAGAGTTATAAAGTCAACTAAACAGGAAAGATGGAAGCAGCAGTTATGAAATTTCTCACTTCTCTGCCTTGGTTATATGTCCATAATTTGCATACAATAAATAATATGCATTAAATTAAAAATCAGCATTAAAATTGGAAATGAGGGAAAAAAAGCACAGCAATCTGGTATTTTAAGGCAAAACAATAAAATGCTCTTTAAATAGATACTTTATTATATCCACAGACGATAAAATCCCAGAGCTACTGTTAGGCACGTAAATACAGATCCTGTAAGAAAAAAAACAATTGTGCATAGTATTAGTTCTATGAACAATTACTTGCGGGAACATCTTTTTATTAAGAAAACAGACACTTTTCCACCAAGAAAGTAAAACCAAACCCAAGAAACTTGGCTTGCTCACTGATGTGCCACATCCCATGAAACACCTGTCTATTAGAAAACCCCACACCTGAGACCATCATCTTGAAAGTACAAATGCATCCAATATCCAAGAAAACTTTTCAGTAAAAGTACAGAATCACAAAAATTCTGTGGTCACAAAGTATATGCACATGTAACACACAGGGACACACCTTTTAACTTGATGAGCAAATCCTACTTCTAAATACCATTAGACTTCAAAATACTGATTGATCCAAAATGTTAAATCTGAGTTAAAATAATGGCTAAGTAATATTTTTTGGTACATGAATCTTCCTTCCCTCTTTTGGCTCAAAAACTGCAAAAGGAAAATAACACCTTATAAGGAGAAGCAGAAAAGATCACAACTCAACTATCTGTAAAATATTCCATCTTGAATGTTACAAAAAATAACTCCAAATAACTATAGTTCGATGCCAGTATCTCATGAAATTTAAGATTCCATCAATAGTAGTAAATAAAATCATGTACTTTACAAAGAAAGAAAAAATGCCAATTATTGTATGATATTCCATCTATTGGAAATTGTAAGATGCCTTCCAATTTCAGAGATGTTAAAACATGAAAAAACATTGTGTTAGAATCAACCAAATGCAATATCTGTCTTTGACTTAATTTATAAATTTTATGTATTTTGGGACTTCCCTGGCAGTCCAGTGGTTAGGACTCTACGCTTCCACTGCAGAGGGCACATGTTCGATCCCTGGTTGGGGAACTAAGATCCCACATGCCACGTGGCATGGCCAAAAAATTAAAAAAAAAATTTTTTTTTGTTTAAATTTATTTTCAGCTTGTTTTAACTAATCTAGATACAAAATGGCTTACCTGCTAAATATTTAATATTATCAAGCTTGTGTGACTCAAGCATGGTTTTGAGGCCAGCAACCTCGGTATCTATCTTCCTGTCTGTCTGCGTGATGGCCCGATCTTGCTGGGCGTGCTTTTAAAAGAAAGATTCACAGCATTAAACCACTTTGGATGCATCCCCTCTGTTGTTAGTCCTAGAGTCCCTTCCCAGCAGGGTCAGATTAAGGAGACCTGGGCTTTAGTCTGAGTTCTACTAGCCTCATGATGTATTGTACTGGTCAGGGCTGTAGCTATCTCTAGGCCTGTTTCCTTCTGTTTGAGACAAAGAAAAAGGTAACACTGGCCCTGTCTTCACATCAGCTGTTTAGAGAATCAAGTGTGATAAGTGATGGAGGGAAGCTTTTTAAATTATAGACTGCTCTGCAAATAAGATTAAGATTATGAAGCTGATCTGTTCTCAATGGCAATGACTAAGCCTCATGCTTCTGAATTCCTCTTAGTGAAAGGTATACAGAAAGTGCTTTAACAAAATGAATGGAATCTCAGGCAATCTAAAAGCAACAGCGCTCGCCTTGATGCTATTTCTATTCAGTTTTTAAAAGTTTTCTTCCTTTATAGTTCGAATGCCAAGTGTTTTATTATTATGAGGCTTGGCTATACCAAGGACCTATATGCGTTCTTTCCCAAATATAATACAGTTAAACCAGATACACAATTAACTCCCAAAGGGTGGTAAGTTTGGCTGATGTTATAAAGGGTTTGTAACATTTCATTAATGCATAAAAGCATAGGAAATACTTCACTAAAAGTCCTAGGGCAAGTAAGTGGTTCCCTGTGATGAATAATTCAGGTAATGAATAAGGAAATAAAATGCCTGGATGAGTAAAATATTCCAGAGGAATAGTTTACTGTTCTCTCATGGAAGTCTCTTGCAGGTTTCAAAGGTCCCAGGTAATATAGGATGGTAAATAAGTTATGCATGCCATAAGCTAAAAATATAATAAAACATCTCCATTCCTTATTATTCTTCAATCACTGAGATTTAAAGTTTCATTAAGATAATTAAGTATTTTGTGTTCCAAAAAATCCTATGATATTCTACTTCTCGGTATATATACCCAAAATAATTGAAAACAGGAACTCCAATAGATATCTGTATGCCCATGTTCATAGCATTATTCACAACGGCCACAAGGATGATCAAAATGTACTACATCCATACAATGGAATATTATTTAGCCTTAAAAAGGAAAGAAATTCTGACATATGCTACAACATGGAGGAATCTTGAGGACATTATGCTAAGTGAAATACACCAGTCACAAAAGGACAAATACTGTATGATTCCACTTACATGAGGGACCTAGAATAGTCAGATTCATAAACAGAAAATAGAATGGTGGCAGCCAGGGGAGGAAGAAAGGAGGGGTTGGTGCTTCAAGGGTAGAGTTTCAGTTCTGCAAGATGCAAAGTGAATCTTTTCTTACCAATGACACCATTTCTGTTTTTACTTCCAGCAGCTTCCTTTCGTTTAATGAATACTGAAACAAACACGTAACACAGGTCAGATTCTGATTTATTCCCCTCTCTCTCCTCCTCCTCTGGTGCCTTAAATATTCTGGTCTCAGTAATTCCAAGAATATGTACCACTAGAAGCCACTCCTAGGGTAAAGTAGCCTACTTGCCTTCTCCTTTTGACCTGTGTTTTGGGGTTTCTTATTTATATTCACTCATCGCTCCAACATCTGGATCCCCTTTTGTCATCCTCCACCACTCTCTGCTGCTTTTCTCTTTTCATCTCTTCGCTGGGATGTCTGTCTCTAGGCCCCTCCCACTATTATAACAGCATTCCCTGGGACCAATTTACATGGACATATGCTCTTTGGCTTTGAGAGGGTTGTAATAAGTGGGGTAACAATTCAATTTAGGAGCTATCCCATTGTAACCACAAACAAAATTGGTCACTATTTGAGGCTTAGACAGAAGAGAGAAAAGATATAAAGTTGGGAAAAAAAAAAGTTTCAAGGAATATTATTCTGTGACATAGATGTCGCCTTGTGATTATAAAACACTATGTAAATATACAGATACAAGAAATACACTAAACCATCACATGCTGGTTTTAATTGAAAAAAACAAAAAACAAACCCACGTGGGCATTGTCACAATTCAGTGTTACTAAGGGAACTGACTAGTTCTACCCAGAATTAAAATGGTATCTTGCCTTTGGCTATTAATATCTATGCAAAGATATTGTGCAATTTTGTTGACATTGAGACCAAAATCAGACACATCTCCTTAGTGGTGGGCGTTAGGATTTAACTGAGCAAATGAAAATCTATAATTTAAGTGAAGAATTAAAAAACTTCAATAAATTAACGTTGTTATAGGGGAAAAAATTAATGGTTTTGAAGTATCTAGAAACTTTCTAGCTATACAGTGTTCCCCTGTGACTACTAGGGGGATAAAGTATAGAAACAGCATTGCTTAGGAGCAAAAAAAAAAAGAAAAAAACCCAAAACCCCAAACCAAGAACCAGCTGCAGGACCAAAGAATGCTCAACTCCAGGGAGGGAGGGAGGGAGAGAAAGAGAGAGAGAGACAGAGAGAGAGAGAGACAGACAGAGAGACAGAGAGACACAGAGAGACACAGAGAGAGAGAGAGAGAGAGAGAGAGAGAGAGAGAGAGAGAGGGAGAGAGAGAGGGAGAGAGAGAGGGAGAGAGAGAGGGAGAGAGCGAGCGCTATGCACCAGATCACCACCAGAGGGCAGGGTGGAATGGGATTTTCTGCACCTCTTAAAACTCCAGTTTTCACTAAGTCAATATTGACTCAACCACAAGAGAAAGGAAAAACCTAAGTTTTGATATTGCCATGATTTTTTTTAAACATCTTTATTGGCGTATAATTGCTTTACAATGTTGTGTTAGTTTTTGCTGTATAACAAAGTGAATCAGCTATACATATACATACATCCCCATATCCCCTCCCTCTTGTGTCTCCCTCCCACCCTCCCTATCCCACCCCTCTAGGTGGTCACAAAGCAGAGAGCTGATCTCCCTGTGCTATGTGGCTGCTTCCCACTAGCTATCCATTTAATGTTTGGTAGTGTATATATGTCCATGCCACTCTCTCACTTCGTCCCAGCTTACCCTTCCCCCTCCCCATGTCCTCAAGTCCACTCTCTACGTCTGTGTCTTTATTCCTGTCTTGCCCCTAGGTTCTTCATAACCATTTTTTCCCCTTTAGATTCCATATATATATGTGTTAGCATATGGTATTTGTTTTTCTCTTTCTGACTTACTTCACTCTGTAGGACAGACTGCCATGATTTTTAAAATAACATCTATATAGCTCCATCTCCCTGCACCCCAAAGCAGTTTACGGGCTACACTGCTTTTGAAACTGGCTGTAAATATCACCACAGTTAATTTTGTTGAAACAGTATTATAACTTTATTAAACAAGAGAATGAGAGGTTTGAATAGCTTATCTTCCTCAGTGCAGTTAAATTCATGCTAGCTACATACTAATATACCACTGTCCTGCACTTCAGAGTAATCTGAATTTAGGATTACCAAGAACGACTTCTCAGCTAGGTTAGTAAGTCACATAAATTCACTGGCTTTAATCCATGTTCACACCCCCTATCTCCCAATCTCCTAAATGAAGTTCTTCCTGGCTCGGTTAGCTACAGGAATCTTCCTAAATCAAGTGAATAAGGAATTCCTGCTAAGTCTACAACCCTGAGGACAAAGGTAACCAAAAGAGTTCTTCCTCTTCTAGATACTAGTCATATGCTAGTGATCATCACATATTTTAGTAATACTAAGTGATTTAATCTTCAAGGTTAAAAGTGTTTCAAGACTAGAAAGACAGGTAACATGGACATAATAATTATTCTGTATAACAAAGCTCAACTTAACTCTTGAAATCCAGAGGCAGTTTCAAAATACACTTAAGTACTTGTTTGAATTTCAATATTAGCTTCATTTATCATTGTAGCACAGTTTGGTTAAAAGTAAATTGTGAAAAATGAGGAGACAATGAAAAACTGTGAATACTCAGTTTCTGCATGTGCATCCTGTTCTTTGTTAGTAAAAAATGCTGTATATGCCCTATTTCTTTTTATGCTGAGAATTAAAAAGGTATCTAACTAATAAATAAAGAAATGTAAATACAGCCTGAACAAGAAGACAGACGGGTTAAAAGTCACTAGAGGCAACCCAACACATATAAAACATCCAACTTATTGTACCCTATGTTCACTGCAGCATTACTTACAATAGCGAAAACGTGGGAGGAACCTAAGTGTCCATCGATGGATGAATGAATAAAGAAAACGCAGTGCGTATATATATATGCAATGGAGTATTACTCAGTTATAAAATTTTTAAAAATCTGGCCATTTGCAAGAACACGGATGGACCTGGAGGGTGTTACACTCAGTGAACTAAGTCAGACAGGGAAAGACATATGCCATATGATCTCACTTATATTTGGAATCTAAAAGAACCCAAAAAAACCCGAGCTCACAGATACAGAGAACAGATTGGTGGCTGCCAGAGGTGGGCGGGGAGGGGGTGAAATGGGAGAAGGGGGGTCAAAGAGTACAAACGTCCAGTTACAGAATAACTGCGTTCTGGGGATGTAATGCACAGCATGGTGCCTGGAGTTAATAATACTGTACTGTACCGCTGAAAGTTTCTAAGAGAGGGGGTCTTAAAAATTCTCATTATGAGAAAAAAAGTTTTGTAACTATGTGGGTGATGGATGTTAACCAGACTTACTGTGGTGATCATTTCACGATACATAAAAATATTGAATCATTACACTGTACACCTGAAATGTAATGTATGTCAATTATATCTCATTAAAATTAAAAAGTTTACAACAAGAAGTTACTGTGAAAGCCCTGAGGGAAAAACATTGTATTTATATGTATTACCTTTGAAATGCACATAAACAGGCATTTCAAAGGGAAGCGGAGCAATATTTCCAGTTTTCTTAGGTCTTGGGCATGGATCCCACAAGTTGTTGTACTGACATATATATAAACATATATATGTCATATATATATATATATATATATATATATATCCCTTCCACTTATTTACAACCCACATTTTGTGATATCTTTTTGGTAACAAATATTTAGCACTACTTTCCCTAATAGAAAATTTCAACTTAATATAACTTCAAGAATCATTTAGAATTTGCACTTTAAAACAATGCAGTAAAGTCATTAAGATTTCTCTATTAAGAAAAAACTATATGGAAATATTTTTTAAATCTTGAATTTTTAACACAGAATTTAATGTTATTTAATATTAATAATTTAATATTATTCAAATCAGATAATCAACTTAACTTTTGAAAAATCGGGACCAGAAGAGGTTTAAGTCAATATCAAATAGATCAAGATTGAATTTAATTTCTTTATTCATGCCTAAGTGACACATAATTTAGTATCTCTGAAACATACAAGATTCAAACTTGCTTTGACCAAGATTTTAATTTTAGTGTTACTTTTGAAAGCATCAAATTTAAGCCTTAATTCAAAATATAGTCAAAATAAAGAAAAAACTGTGTCTAACAATGATATACAGGTAAATATTTAACAATACTTCTGAATGGTATGTAAACAGACTTGACCAAATGTTCCATCCTGCAAAGAAATTAATTCATACTATATTTTTAGTAAAGAAACATACCAATTCTTTTACTCTGCTCTTTTCTAGACTGAAATCTAATTTGGTATCTGTTCGGACTTTGATCACTTCATCCTAGTGGGAGGGCAAACAACAAAGAAAGAAAGAAATCCAAAGTAAGAGATCCAAACTCTGAGAATGTGCGCCTTCCCTGCTGCTTCCACTGCTCCACCCAAAGGGGCTAAGGGGAAGGGGGAAAGGGGGAAAGGGCCGGGCCAGGGGCGCGCACAGGAACGGAGCTGGAGACTAGCGGGGTCAGGAGACTGGCTAAGCGACGTCTGCAGTCAGCCCTGCTGGGACTTCCCAATTGTATATACAAATAATCCCCCTTTGATGTTTAAGTCAGTCTAGAGTGGGTTATTGTTGCTTTTAACCTCAAGATTCCCAATGCAATCACCTTGTGAAATTTATGAATCAAGCTGTTCCTTGGACAACTTTGGAAAGCAGAGATGGACTCAAAAAAGTAAAATATTAAATTCTGGTTTAAGTAAAGTCTTCCTACTGACACTCATCAAAACCTTTTCTTCTTTAACATCAATGTCCTTTCGACTTAAAAAAAAAATCAAACAGCTGGCACAGTCAGCAGTTTAAAATCACGTGTAATTCTCTAAAGACAGTCTCTCCTAAGATAATCTCAGGGTTCCAGGTAGCTATTTTAGAAAATTTTTTATTTAAAAATGACTTCATTCCTTCTAGATCGCAATTTTCTTAATGAATTTGGTTACAGACATCAGTAACTCATACATTGGCTATGTTCTTGGTTAAATCTTCCAATGTGTACTTTCGAGACACATCACACAAATATTTAACACAGAATTAAGTTTTTAAGAACATATAAGTATTTCGGACATTATATTTATTACTAAGCTTATGTAATTATAAACAAGCAAGCAAACAGGAATGAAGATCTTACCATTACTTGTTGTTTTAACTGATGTAGTTCAAGTTTTATTTTCTAAAAACACATTAACAAGAAATGTCAAGGATATATTTAGAAGATTATGAAAAACATAATAAACAATTATTAGAACATGTATTTGTGAACAAGTTCTTTCCTCATTCAACACAAATTCGGCCACGTTCAGAATACAAGCATAATTGAATAGTCTCAGTGGCAGAAATGACTGTTGTGCCAGGATGGTACTACAATCATGGTGTGTCTTGAGATACGTCTTAATCCATCTTGAAGGCCACATAAAATTAGTAACACAACGGTTTTCAATATATTCATCTCCCTTCAGAGGCCCTGCTTTAATTCCTCCTTCAATTTTTCTCTGAACTAATTCTGCCCTCAAATAACTGACTTCCAGACAACTTTGACAGTTTCACAGTTTACCTTTTTCTAGCAAAAGAAGGATCTTTTGCTAGGCGGTTTCTTATAAGATTAAGACCAACAGATAATAAATGAACTTCCTTCATGGGACTTTAAATAGGGCTGAAAATAAAGGAAGACACGAAGATAGCACTTATTTAAACGCTGATCCCAAACACCACACTTGAAGAAATGAAGCGATATTTTACAGCAGCACTTATTCATAATAACCTCAAACTGGAAACATCTCTAATATACGTTGCAGTAGAATATCGCGGCATATTCCTATAATACTATGAACAATGCAAAAGAATGACCTATCACTGCAAGACACGCTGTGATTCCATCCGATAAAGCTCTGGAACAGCCAAACCACTCAACAGCCATGTTAGCCAGGATAATGGTTTCCGCTGTGGGAGGAGTGACCAGAAGGGGGCGTCCGCAGCACTTCTGGGGCACTGGTCACCATCTATTTTTTTTTAATATATATATATTTTTATTTCTTGATTTGACTGATAGTCTATACTGAAAATTCATCGAGACGTACACATGTTTGTACACTTCTGTGTGTGTATATCATATCTCAATGTCTTAATATAAAGCATTTGGTAAATATGAGTGGTTCTTTAGTTTTACCTCATTTTCTGATCTGAGGGCTGAAAATTCACTCTTCTCCAAAATAATCATATCTTTTTTCACATTGGCAATCTGAGACATTATTTCCTGAAGAGTGATCTCCTGGGAAAAGAAAAACAAAACATATAACCTAGTCCGGCCTAGGAACTCTACCTCCTACTGTCTCTACCCAGTATCATCTTATTGAGAAACTAGAAGGACATGGGAACAAAGAAAGAGGTTCGGCAAGGTCCTCCTCTGTCTGAAAATGGGAAAAGAATAAGAACTCATTTCCAGTGTCGGCATCAAGTGAATCACAGTTAAAAGGGTGGCAGTCAGAGGACCAGCTGCTATAATTCTAGCCACATCTCCATTTATTAAAGCACGGTTGACTAGAATAGTCAGTTTTCAAACATAAGTGATTCTGTAACAGCTGACTAAATAGCTTTGAATAAATATTTTTTATGCCACTGTAACCATCTGTCTCTCATTTATGTTAAAATTACGATATGCTTTTCAACAGAGTATTATCCCAAAGCATATATTACAAATAATACTCATTAGATTTCAAATTTGCTCAAGTGCCCCAGCAAAGCTACCTGCTGCATCTTGGTGACCATATCTTTGTAGACGATATCCATGTTGGCCTCCATGATCTTGACTAAGGCAGAGACAATGATTTCTGCTTGTTGAGTAGTAAACCCTAGGCAAACACACAAAGACAGTCACTCAGGAGACTCTAGTTGCCAGAACAAAAAAAATCCTTCATAGAAAGGGGGAGAATGCAAACTGACACATGCAAGTGGATGTCTGAATTCAGAAGCAGGTGGAAAGCCTAGTGTAGCAGGAGGGTAGAGTCTAGCCACAGGCTGTGATGTGTCTGTCACTTGGAACAAGGAGGACACATCGGAGTGTTTCCTCGTGTAAAATGAGGGGTTGAGATGACTGAGCTCTGATGTCCCTCCTAGCCATCAAAAACCATGTTTTCAAAAAGAGAATGCATAGTGACACAGGGGATGCCTGCAGTGCAAGGTCAAGTGAAAAGATGCAAGACTCAAAACTATAGATACAATTTATTTCTTCTGTAATTTAACAAAGATTCTAGGTAATTGTGTTGTCTAAATTTTCTACAATGGATGTGACTTCTTTAATTTCAAAATGTATATGTTAGTAAAAAATAATTTACTTAAGTAGAGAAAGCTTATTTTATTTCCAGCACAAATCGGTCAAATCAGTGGCTATATAAATAATAATTCAGCTGTTAATTTACTTAATGTTAAAAGACAAAATTGGCTCTTATATTTTTCTTCCATAATTTTCCTCAATCACGAGTGTGGGGGGGCTCAAACTGGAAAAAAATATATTCTTTTATACTCAATAAATGCTGCTGAACTGAATTACCTAAAGACTCAACTCAGCAGTGCTACTGTTTTTAATAACTTTAGGTAGTAACATATTTCACATTGAAAATTCTAATTAAAATGCTTAATTTTAAATGCTTAAGACGCATAAGTCCCTGGAATACAATTCTTTCCGTTAAATACTTCCAGCTACGGGCTTCCCTGGTGGCGCAGTGGTTGGGAGTCTGCCTGCCAATGCAGGGGACGCGGGTTCGTGCCCCGGTCTGGGAAGATCTCACATGCCGGAGTGGCTGGGCCCGTGAGCCATGGCCGCTGAGCCTGCGCGTCCGGAGCCTGTGCTCCACAACGGGAGAGGCCGCAACAGTGAGAGGCCACAACAGTGAGAGGCCCGCGTACCGCAAAAAAAAAAAAAAAAATACTTCCAGCTGTAAGAACTTCAGAAGAATTTACTGATTCTTGTAATTAATCCATGGCACATTTGTTTGGATAAAGTTATAACTGATTCAATTTGGATGAGATTAAGCATATTTTATAATCAAAAAAAAAGAAAGCAACAAATTTAAAGGAGACAAAAAGACCTCCAAAGACCTACTCTTTTCACTTTATTCAAAATCCTTTCATTTTCAATGTGTGGGTCATGAACAGCTAGAAAAAAATCACCCAAATGTGAACACTGTTTAACTCTGGTACTGGGATTCAGAGTAGTTTTTCTTGTTTCTTTTCTGTCTTCCTAATTTTTAAAAAATGAACATGTCTTTTGAAAATTTTAAAACTTATTAATAAGAGTTCATAGTTAAACATAATTAGGTTTGGGAATTATGAAGAAAAGAAAGAGGGAGACCAAAGAGAACTTACGCTGATAAGAAAAGAAACTTAAAGCCTTATAATTTAGAACTACCTATAGGAGGAGAAAGGATAAGAAAAAGGAGAAGCCTGAAAACCTCCTGGGTTGCCATATGCAAATTACTTTTTGGAGGAATGAGAGAATGGGACAGAATCAGGGCTAGTGAGATTACAGACACAGAGAAAGTTTTGTGAATCAAGAGACATAACTCTGGAGAGAAAAAGGGATAAAGGATGGAACATTCCTTGAGGGGTACTTCCTGGCCTTATCCTAACCCAGCCATCGCAGACACCCATCATTCATGTAAGCACCTTCACACCCTACATCCAGTGGGGTCTTCACATCACTGGTCTTGAAATATGCAAATATTCATGGGCCAGGGTTTGAAAATCAAGAAAAGCAGGCAGTACATATATTGAAACATCATATTTTAAACATTCAACATCTGCTATTTCTAATTTGTCAAAAATAAATTAATAAATGGATTTTGAAAGGGGGGGAGGGGAAACAAATACCACCTCGCACTGGGAAACAGGATTTGGGACCACTGCAGCTACCTGGCCATAGTTACGCGTAACTAAATTAATGATGTTTCTTTAATATCATCAAACATCTAGTGTATGTTGAGATGCCCCTATTATCTCTAAGATGTCTTTTTACAGTTGGTTACTTTGAATACAAGAACACAGGTCCATCAAAAAGAAAAAAGAAAAAGAAACAGAACGAAAGAAAAAGAAAAGTAGAAAGACTTCTGCTTAACAAGATAATTTTACATGCCCCTCTTCTCACTTTTACTTTTCTTTTTTAAATTCTGAGCTGAAAGAAGTCTTGGTGAAAAAGGCTAACTGTTTCAAGTTTGAGAAGAAAAGCTGTAAAAATTATCACAGGGCATGTGACAGTTTTCCCAAAGTGCATTCAAGTACATTACTTAACACTCAAAGGGCTCTTTGGAATTCTTACCAAGGGAGAAATGGGAACTGAGAAGGCAGAAAGGACTGTGAGACCAAGCAGCTGGAACGTGGCAGAGCTCGAATCCAGAGCTGCTAACCGTCCCACATAAGCACAGAAAGATCCACCCCAACACAGTGTCCTGGGCATGTAAAGCACGTCTACACAGGGCAGCTTTTCAGATATGAACACACACAACAGGATGAATAACTATACAATAAAGTCAAAACACAGATTTATTTCAGACATAAGCTATGATATTTGAGATTCTGATTTTGAGAATATATGTGTCACAGTAGAGAGAATTATAATGTGTATTAAATTGTATATTTGTCTAGATAAGATTAAATATGAGAATGCTACCTATATATTAAGTGCACTTTCAATAACTCATACATGTCACAGCAATCTTTTACATTAGTTAACTCAACAGCAGTAAGAGAAAAAGTCTGAATATTTTTAAAAATTCACAAGTTGGAATTATCAATAATTGTTGCTCAGCAACATTTTAATTTCATAAAAATTTTAAAGCACACAAGATGCACAGGAATAAAACTATCACTTTCGTGCTTAGACAGCTGTCATAGGAATCATTCCTGAGTTTTGCTGGCTTATGTCTAATTTTTCACCTATAATACCATACTTCCAGAGTAATGTTATAAACATACGCTTCACTTGGACAAAGAGAGTATGTGGGAGAAAAGTCTCAATTGTACTGATGAAGCAAAAATGTCCTTAAACAAAAAACAAGGACTTAAAAAATGGAGACTGACCAAAAGATTACCTACAGACTTAAAAGTCAAAGAGAAATATGAGAAATTCAATAAGATCATAAGGGAAGTCCTAATGGCACTGAGTAACCAAATGAGAGAGGATTACCATTTTCTTCGAGTAAACACACTAAGGCATGGGTGTCAAAGTAGAGCTTCCTACTCCGAGAAGAGGTGAAATCTCTCCTTTTGCTCTCCAGATGCAGGCTCCCAGCACAGACGCTCAGCTCTAGAATGGAAAGGACAATACGGTTCAAAACAGGTGGATGGTAAACAGGTGGATGTTTGATGGTAAACAAAAGCAACTCAGCACCATGAAAAAACAGGGCATACCTCAAAAGTCTATCTGGTTTTTTACAACAGCTTTATTGAGACATAACTTAGATACGTATGATTCACCCATTTCAAATGTATACTCCAGTTGTTTTCAGTATATTTACAGTGCTGTGCAACCATCCCACAATAAACTTCAGAACATTTTCATCATCCCCAAAGAAACCCTATACCCTCTAGCTACGCTCTAGCTATCACCCCCTCATCTTCCTACTTCCCCCCAGCAATCACTTATCTATTTTCTGTCTCTATGAATTTGCCTGCTCTGGACATTTCATTTGAATAGAATCTTTAGGATATGTGATATTTTGTGACTGGTTTCTTTTACATACAGTGATATTTTCAAGGTTCACCCACCAATGTAGTATGTCAGCATCTTATTTCCTTTTATTGCCAAATAATATTTCATTGTATAGATATGCCAATTTTTTTTTACCTCGTCATCAGTTGAAGGACTAACTGTATGAGGGTTCCAATTTCTCCCCATCCTCAACATTGTTATTATCTGTCTTTTTTATTACAATTATCCTATTGGGTGTAAAGTGGTATCTCATTGTAGTTTTGATTTGCATTTCCCTGATGGTTAATGACGTACATCTTTTCATGCACTTATTGGCCATTTCTATATCTTCTTTGGAGAAATATCCATTCAGACCCTTTGCCCATTTAAAAAATTTGGGTTATCTTTTTATTACTAAGAGCATTCTTTATACATTTTAGATACATGTTCCTTATCATATGTATGATTTGCAAATATTCCCGTTCTGTGGGTTGGCTTTTACTTTCTTGATGGTGCCTTTTGAAGCACAAAACTTTTTAATTAAGTCCAATTTATCTTTTTCTTTTGTTCCTTATGCTTTTGGTGTCATATCTAAGAAACCACTGGCTGATCTGGGCACACAGAGATTTACATCTGTTTTCTCCTAAGAGTTCTGCAGTTTTAGGTCTCACATTTAGGTCTTTGATCCTTTTGAGTTGATTTCTGTATATGGTGTGAGATGGGGGTTCAACTTCATCCTTTTGCATGTGGAGGTCCAGTTGTCCCAGCACTACTTTCTCCCTTAAATTGTCTTGTGACTCTCATCAAAAATCAACTGACTATAAGTGGGAGGATTTATCTGTGAATTCTCCATTCTATGCCATTGATTTATATGTCTGCCCTTCTGCCAGTGCCACATTTTCTTGATTATTTGTAACTCTGCAGTAAGTTTTGACATCAGGAAGTGAGTCCTCCAACTTTGTTCTTTTTCAAGATTGTTTTGGCTATTCTGAGTCCCTTGCATTTCCATGTGAATTTTAGGATCAGTTTATCAATTTATGCAAAGAAGCCACTTGAAACTTTGATAGAGATTGTGTTGAATCTGTAGGTCAGTTTGGGGGAGTACTGCCATCTTAACAATACTAAATTCTTCCAACCATGAACTTGGGATGTCTCTCCATTTATTTAGGTCTTTAATTTCTTTAATAATGTTATATATAGGTTTCAGAGTATCACTTTTGTGCTTTTTTTGGGTGAAATTTAAGTATTTTATTCCTTTTGATGCTACTGTAAAGGGACTTGTTTTTTAGATTTTTCGTTGCTAGTACATAGAAATACAACTGACTTTTGTTTTTGTACAATTTGTATATTGATCTTGTATCCTGCAATCTTGCTAAATTTGTTTATAAGCTTTAATAGTTTTTTTAGTGAATTCCTTAGAGTTTTCTATGTACCAGGTCATGTCATCTGTGAACAGTGATAATTTACTTCTTTTACAATCTGGATGCCTTTTCATTTTCTTGCCTAACTGCCCCAGCTAGAACTTCTAGTAGAGTGTTGAACAGAATGGTGACAGCAGACATCCTTGCTCCGGACTTTGGAGGGAAAACACTCCTTCTTTCACCATTAAGTATGATGGTAGCTGTGGGTATTTCAGATGCCCCTTATAAGGTGAGGCGGGTCCCTTCTGTTCCAAACTTGTCAAGTGTTCTTTAACACGAAGAGGTATGGAATTCTGTCAAATTCTTTGCCTTTTGCGATGATCATGTAGTTTCTCTCCTGTATGCGGTGGACGTGGCGTACTACATGAATAGATTTTCAGATGTTAAGCGAACCTGCTATCCCTGAGACAGAATCCCACTTGGTCATGGTGTATACTCCTTTTTACATATTGCTGGATTTGGTTTGCTAGTGTTTTCATAAAGATATTGGTCTGTAGTTTTCTTTCCTTGTCTTTGCAAGAGCCTACCTTTGGAGAGATGTGTTCTAACAATTTATATATTACCTTTGCTATGGATTTCTGTGCGTTTAACCACAGATCCAACCTGTTTTGCAAACCTGTTTCAAGGTGCTCATTTGAAGGAGGTAGTATAGTAATGGTTTCCTGGCTTTTGTATTCCACAAACCACAAAAAACAGCTTTAAAAAAACAGAACAATTGCAATGCGAACTTGCAATTTTGTCAAGAAAGGACATTTAAACATAATACCTCTTTACAATCACACTAAAAAAGGCATTTTGACAGAAAATGAGAGATGGACGATATAAAATAAAAAAATCTTTCATTTAAATGTAATAAACATAGCTATATAAAAATCTTGCTTCATACTTGTTCTTACTTTTCCATGATGCCAGGTGTTGTAGAAGAGTGGGAGAAGACAGAATAGTCATCTACTAACTCAAAGTTCAAAGGTTTTCTCAGTACCTGTCCTAAATGACCAGAAAAATACTTCAGCTAATCAACTCTTATTCTCAACCCGTAAACACTCAAAGGAAACTCCAAGTAAGCAAAAATTGTGACATGGACTAGACCCTACAGACCTGCTGCTTTTCTGTAAGACGACAGCAGTGGTTCCCAAATTACTAGCAACGTGGAAGGAGTGGGGTGGCTGTGGTCACAGTCTGCACCAAGGTAAGTACCAGCGAGCCAGGAATCACTCTGTACCAAACACTGTTTGCAGACTGACAAAATATAAAATGCAACAACTCGTGTATGCATGTGTGTGTTTAATGGTTAAAAAAAAAGGTGGGCCGGATGGTGTTTAGATTCAAAGAAGCACTAGCCTATAGTGTAAGGCCCTTGGCAAGGCATACAAAGCCTGCCCTAATTTAGCCACTTATCTTTTCAGCTTTTGTTCTAGCCACCTAAACTATTCTGTTTCCTGCACGTGCAGACCTTGGTACTCCATCCTTAAGGTTGGCTTGCTCCCCTTTCTCAACTGGTAAATTTTAAGCATCCTTTTTACCCTTCCTCATCCAATGTGACAACGTGCTAAGCATCCATTATGTTCCGGGCAGGGCATTATGCTACCCTGTAAGGTTCTTTTTGCTACCTCCTCCCAGGTCAGGGAGCAATGTTTATTGCTTCCTTATCTGTGTTCTCAGCCCGGTACAGATAGCTCTACCACAGCACTTACGTTTATTCCCATGTCTGTATATTAGTCCAAGCTCCCCCAGAGCGGCCAGTTATTTTTGTGTCACTAGGAGAGGGCCTGGTATACTGCAGGCCAGAAATAACTTAAAAGAAAATTCAACTGTAAGAATTCTAAGATCCAAATCTAGAGACTATCTAGAAAGAGAGTTTGAGATGAACCCCTTTCTGCCCTTCACCTATGGTCTTCCCTTTTCACATTAAGTGAGCTCACTTAAATCTGGCACCTCTTTTTTCATCCTTTATCTCCAGCCCTGGGCCTCCATGAGAAGAGACCCTGACACAGAACAGCCCGAGCTGGATGGCAGATAGATGAATGAATGAATGATTGTACCTCTTACAGGTGCAATGTATAATATATATACATATATATTAATATATATGTATATATATTAATCTCTTTACAAGCCACCCTGCCCACTTCAGAACCGTGCTGGACTGTCCCGTGGGTCAGGGAGTTTGAGAACATTTGGGTATAGAACTGGCTTGTGAAAAGTGTGACGGGATTCTTCTAGTCCCAAATTCCTTTTTTCTAATAACAATAATCATTCATGTGATTTAAAACAAAACTGCAAGCAAGCTTATTTCAAAGATATATTGTGGGCTGAAAAGAGGAGAAAGGGCCTAGTCACTCGTCACTTGGCCCTCCAACTCTGGCTGATGGAGGGTGAATTCCGTCTTGCCTCTATCATAGGGCAGCGCCTGGGGACACAGCAGTACTCTGGCACTGGGAACACCTCTGACTCACTTTTCCTCCTTTATTGTGACAACAAAACGAGGCCCAAGAACTATGAATTCCCACTAATAACCGGGAAACAAGTAAAGAGAGCTATGGTAAAGTGTAATATGTAATTCTCCTTTTGGGGGGGCCTTCAGCATATCAAAAGGATGTGAAAACACACACACAAAATAAGCCCAAAGCTAGGCCTGGACAGAGGAGGAAACTGAGCACAAATTTCCTATTCATAAACATCCTTAAGTCTAAGTAGCTCTACTGAGAACCCTGGACACCAAACAGACCACTAGCCTGAAGACAAAGGGTCAAAATTCTCATTAGCTGATGGAATTATGAGAGGAAACCAAATCACAAATTACCAGTTTGTCAAAAAAAGAGCAACAAAAGGCAAAGTACAGAAATAAAGACTCACAGGTACTGCAGGACACTGACAGAGTTCACCACTCATTTCCCAGCCTCTGGACATAAAGCTGCTTTCACTCTTTGCACTACCAACCAGTTTCTCCCCCAGCCAAAGGTATTCTTTCTTTCTTTCTTTATTTTTTTTCGGTACGCGGGCCTCTCACTGCTGTGGCCTCTCCCGTTGCGGAGCACAGGCTCTGGACGCGCAGGCCCAGCGGCCATGGCTCACGGGCCCAGCCGCTCCACAGCATGTGGGATCCTCCCGGACTGGGGCACGAACCCGCGTCCCCTGCATCGGCAGGCGGACTCTCAACCACTGCGCCACCAGGGAAGCCCCGCCAAAGGTACTCTTAAATTTTAGATGCAACTAACATTTACCAAGCATGTCTGTTGAGAAAACCCTTTTCTTAAATAGCCATCAGTGTAGTTACTGAGAGCCACTGATGGATATGCATAGACTATCCAAAGTTAGATTTTTGCCAAGTTTGCTAATTAATAAGGATTCTCCCGGATGATTTTTTAATCGGCAATTTGTAATCTAGTAAACTGAGTCTAATCTCATGCAGGCCGTGACTGCTCTCACCTCCTTAAAGTATTTAATGAAATGCCAACTTCTCAACGAAGCAAACTTATTCCGAGGACTCCATTTAAATTAGCAACTGAAGGCCCACTCCACCTCCTAACCTTTACCCCCTCTATTTTTTCCGACATTTATCAGATATTATTATATATGTATATATATTAATCTCCTCTGCTACAATTAAGCGCCAAGAAGGAAAAGAGTTTGTTGACTGATAACCATCCCGAGTTCCCAGAAAAGTGCCAGGCAGAGTAATGAACCCACGAGAGTTTGCAATTAAATTGTGAAACAATCCCTTCGGCTCCCAGAGCTTCGAGCCTCAACTCGCCAGCTTCCTGCACACCCCTTCACCCGAGCCCCCAAACACTGTGCACCTGACAAAACGGCTCTACAAACGCGCTTGCGCTGTGCCCGCACGCACCGCCCCCACCCCACCCCGCCGCAGCCCATCACGCTTTGCGCCAGACACCTGGTGCCCGCATTCCGAATAATTCGGGTCTTTTCACCCGAGGAAGCCCAGGTTTGCGTGGCCCAGAGGGCGGGACCGGACAGACCTTCATCCCCACGCCCGGAGGAGCCCGGCGACCTCGGCTGACCCGCCCAACTCCCGCCGCCCCGGCCCTCACCTCTCCTGGAGGAAGCGAGGGCGGCCACCTGGCCGAGGCACAGGTGGAGCGCGCCCGCCGCACAGGTGACGCCCGGGGCCAGGCCCGGCTGGCACTTCCTCGCGCCGCCGCGCCCCGCCGGGGCAGCCGAGGGCCCGGCGCGCGAGCGCTCCCAGTCCGCCAGCGGCCGGCGCGGGGAGGCAGCGGCCAGGCGCGGGGAGGGCAGCAGCAGGAGGAGGAGCAGCGGGGAGGCACGTGACGCGCCGCCGCGGGCCGCCGGGGCGCGGGGACGCAGCGCCCCCAGACCGCCGAGGAGCCCGGGCAGGAGGTGGCGCGTGGGGACGCCGCGGCCTCCGGGGCCTCCACCGCGGCCGGCGACCAGGGAGAGCAGAAGCCGCCGGCGGCGCTTCGGCCTCTCGTTCGTGACAGAGCCGCAGTCCATCCCTGACGCGGTCACGGGCCCGCGAACGCGCTCATGCCGGTCACGCGCAGCCCCAGCCAGACACCGACGGCAGGAGCGAGCGTGGGCGGCAGCGCCGAGCCTGCGCTTTCCTGCCGGATGGGCGGGGCTCCGGGCATTCTCCGGGGGAGGAGCTGAGCGGCTAGGCGGGGCTCCGGGCTCGCGCCGGGGGCGGGGCTGGGCTCCCAGTGCGCGCTGGGGGAGGGGCTGGGCGGCGGGCGACCGGGGCGGGGCAGAGCTCGTCCCGCGGAGCAGGCACCCCGGGAGAGGCGAGTCTGGTCCAGAGGAAGCCCCCGGCCCGCTCGGTGTAGGCGACTGGGAAGACCAGGAGGTGGGTGTGGACCCTCTCGGAACTGGAATGAGCTCAGCGCTGCCACGATTTGCATATTTATAAGGACATACACGGTTGTCCTTATAAAGACATAGTTACCCTGGCGCCCTTCAGAAGCCCATGAAAAGTCCGTGCACCACCGGGCTGCCCTGGGTTTTCCAGACTTTCCCCGTCCGAAGTCCCCCAACGTGTTATCTCTGGGGTGCATTTTAAGGAATTATTAACAGGGCCGAGGGAACAGCGCTTATATAGTCCACACATTTAAATCTAAACTTTCAGAGCTTGTTTCCGGATTAGTGTATCATAGGATTAAAAAATCTCAATCTTGGAATTTCAAACGTAGGGGCTTGAATTTTAAATGAGACCTACTGGTATAAAAAGATATCTGAGACTAGCGGCGTTCAGTTCAGTGAGCTTTTTGAATGCCTACTGCACCTGTCTCAGTTACTGGTCCGTTGTGTGAACTCTGTACTGTTTCTTGAATGAAGGAATGAAATGCACAAGGCACCAGCCTAGAAGATACAAAGAAAAATGAGATTGTCCTTGTCCTCTAGGAGTGGTTTTCTTATCCACCCATATGTGTACAATACATGAGGGAAGAAGAATGTGTTATGAGCCATAAGAGAGCTACAAAGTGCTGGTAAGAGAGAAGAGAGGGCATATGGCTGTGGAAATGGCTATCAGCATATAAAGGATTAAAAATATTAAGGTGCAAGTAGACACTTTCATAAAAGGTTAGTAGGAATTATACATTTGTAGAACTGGTAGGGAAAGCAATTTAGCAATATGTACAAAAGTGTTTTATGGTTGTAAATTTTGCTCAAGTCACCCAACTCTGAAAATTTAACCTAAGAGAATAGTCCAAAATATTAAAAATCTACTAGATTGGACCATAGGAACTTGCCATTTTTATAGGTCGAAATGTTGAAGATTGGTAATTTCATTTGGATCAACCTAATATATGCACAAAGATATTCATTGTATCATAGTTTATGATTGTGAAAAAATGGAAAAAAACAAATGTCCAACGTTAGAGGACTGGTTAAATAAACAGTGGCACAAACTTTATTTAATGAAAGCCCTTTGTAATTTTTTGAGGTTGAGGTATAATTTGCATGTAATAAACATGCACAGATCTTACTTCGATTTGATGATTTTTAACAATTATATACCTCATGTAACCACCACCCAAACAAGATATAGAACATGTTTGTTTTGCCACGCTGCATGGCTTGTGGGATCTTCCTTCCTCGACCAGGGATTGAACCCCGGCCCTCGGCAGTGAGGGCATGGAGTCCTAATCACTGGCCCACAAGGGAATTGCCTAATTTGGTCTGTTCTTGAACTTCATATAAATGGGATCATACAATAAGCATTGCCTTTCATCTGACTTCCTTCTGTCTTGTGTCTGTCTGCAATGTAATAGCTGGGAGATTCATCTATGTTGTTTTATCAGTAATTGGTTCCTTTCTGTTGTTGAGTAGTATTCCGTTGTGTAACTGTGCCACAGTTTGGTCATCCACTCTCCTATTGACAGCATTTATTTTGTTTCCAGTTTTTGGGTGTTATGAATAAGGCCATTACGAACATTTTTGCATAAGTCTTTGTGTGGACATATGTAATTTATCCCTTGTTAAAGAAAAAATTAGTCAACTACCCTTTTTTTTGTGTTTTTTTTTGTTTTGTTTTTTTTTTTAAGAAGATGTTGGGGGTAGGAGTTTATTAATTAATTTATTTATTTTTGCTGTGTTGGGTCTTCGTTTCTGTGCGAGGGCTTTCTCTAGTTGTGGCAAGCGAGGGCCACTCTTCATCGCAGTGCGTGGGCCTCTGACTATCACGGTCTCTCTTTTTGCACAGCACAGGCTCCAGACGCGCAGGCTCAGTGGTTGTGGCTCGTGGGCCTAGTTGCTCTGTGGCATGTGGGATCCTCCCAGACCAGGGCTCGAACCTGTGTCCCCTGCATTAGCAGGCAGATTCTCAACCACTGCACCACCAGGGAAGCCCTCAACTACACTTTTTAAAGCCCAGTAAGGAAGGCTTTATTTAAGGGAGGTGGACTGTCTCATTAGGTATGGGGACAACTGTGCTGGAATGTTGTAGTGGCAGGGAGAGAGAATGGGGTCAACTTGGAAATCAGCTGGGGCAGGTGGGAATTTATAGCCAAGGAGCAGTGTGGGGAGCAGTGGATGGGAAATTACTAAGAGGAAACATCGGGAGTAAGGGGGATTTTGGCTAAACCAGCTAACAGGACTCTTGCTGAAGAGGGGCCAGTGTGATCGGACATTGCACAGAGGATGGTAGAGGGTGAGGAACCCGATCAGATATGGAGGGTGATCAGATACCTTCTTTCCTTTGGTTCCAGCACTCCAGTTTTCCATGGGGAGCCATTCTTCCCCGCTCTTAGCCCATGTGGTTTGGGCGGGCCAGTCTTCCTCCAGGCCCCAGGCGTGAGCATGTCACCCAGTCAGAGTCGATGAGCTTCAATTCTAGGATTTTTCTAGGAGTTATTGGCAAAAGAAGGTCACATTTTATTGTGATACAGATTTTGAACCTTGAGCCGTTGGGGCTACTACATGGCCTGAGACTGAAGCTATTATGGAGAAAGCAGATCTGAAAGACGACAAGAAATGCTCCTGGCTCTAGCTCAGCCTGAAATCGATGTTTTTATTTATATAACCAATAAACTGCTTTTGTTTAGAATAGCTAGAGAAAGGTTTCTGCCTCTTATCCTGACTAATACTAGATACAGAAATCTAAAGCCCACATGAAAAAGAAGTATCAACAAATTAAGGCTTCAGGCAGGGGCCAAACAACCCCCAGGGCTCAGGACTTTCTGACAAAGTTGGACTGGAGAATAAGCTTGGACATGGGGCCAAAGTGGGGCCCTCCTACTGTCTCCCCACGTCTGGACCTGGGGACCTGCCATGAGCAGAGTTGGGTTCACAGAGCAGACCCTCTGAGATCCACCAGCTGTGAGGTCTCTAGGTGGGCCTCACACACTCTGAGGTCACCAGGAGAAAGGAGAGGAAGGATGGCAGAGCTGTCGCTGGAAGCTCTGGGCCTGCCCAGTGTGTACTTACCAGGAGGTGGCAGAAAGGTGACAAATATAACATAACTACAAAGTAAAGGGGCAGGGATAAAGAGACCTCAATGGCAGTGAGGTTTCTATATTGCACCTGAAGTGCTAAAATACTGATCCTAAATAGGTTTAGAAAAGTTAAATATGTACATTGTAATCCCTAGAGTAATCAATAAACATATTATCCAAAGAGATATAGTCCAAACACAGAATAGATAAAATGTAATAATAAAAAATGTTCAAATAACCCAAAAGGAGACAGGAAAGGAAAAAATGGAAGTTCCAAAAACAGAGGGAACAAATTGAAAGCAAATAGTAAAATGGTAGACCTAAATCCAAACATAGTAATAATTATATGCAATGTAAATGATCTATACCAGAGAAAATCAAGCTAAAATACTGTTAAATAAAATATGTTCTATCCTTCTTCCTTGTGAAGAGTAGCAGACTATTCCACCCCCAAATATACCACTTTGGCATGAAGATTATTTTGAGCTGAAGGCAATTGAGAAAAAGTAGATACAAGAAAATCTCTCTACTCTTCCCCTGTTGGCCTAAAAGCAGGACATAAATTTGTAAAGTTGTCCCCCCTCCTCTCTCTACTAGGAAGGACAGAAGATAATCACCAGAGAGAACCCTTACCAGCCCAGAGACAGAATCAGAGGACTCTATATAGTAAACTCACTCAGACTAGCCCTTATCTACCATTATTCCCCATGTATTTGCCTTCCCACAATTTGCTGCCCTAGGAACTCAAAGTCCTTTTCCTTTGTGTTGCCATTTCTCTACAAAATTATTGTTCTTTGCTAAGATACTATGTGAGCCCAAGTTCTAACCACTCCTCTGTGTTACTCCTCTCTGAGTACTCCCCGGTGAATGCGCTTTGTACATGTTAATAAGCTTCTGTTTGTTTCTCTCTTGTAAATCTATCTTTTTTAATCAGCCTAATATATGGGGCCCCAGCCAATGAATCTAAGATGGGAAGAGGGAAAACTGTTTTTCTTCCCTTACACTTGACAAATATACTTTCAAACTGGAAAAATAGAAATTATGTGTAAAAGTCATGATTTTTCATGGTTTTGTACGGTTTTTACATGACTGAAACTTGGCAAGATATTAAAGATGATGAATGCAATTATCATTGGGCACATTTGAGTGTTCTGTTCTTTGGCCATCAATGCTTAGATGAGTACTGAAATAAAGACTCTCCTAGATCATCTATTTTTGTCTACTCTATGAAATTGATTTCAGCAAAATCACTAATTATCTTGGTATAATGAAGATTTTCACATAGTTTGTTTTCTTAGGATAGGAAAGATCTAAAGTATTAAAACGTAAAATATACTCAAATTGAACAAAAGTTGAATGATTTACATCAAAAACATAAGGTAAATGTAAAAAATTTAAAAACAAATTGCTTTGATGATTTTTATTTTCTTCTAAAATATAGAAATTTCTCTTTTAAAAGACAAAAATAGGGCCTCCCTGGTGGCGCAGTGGTTGAGAGTCCGCCTGCCGATGCAAGGGACACGGGTCCGTGCCCCGGTCTGCGAAGATCCCACATGCCGCGGAGCGGCTAGGCCCGTGAGCCATGGCCAATGAGCCTGCGCGTCTGGAGCCTGTGCTCCGCAACGGGAGAGGCCACAACAGTGAGAGGCCCACGTACCGCAAAAAAAAAAAAACAACAAAAAAAAAC